GGGCAGATAGAACGGTCTGCTGTTAACAGTGAGAAACTTGATGTCTGGAGAGCAGAAGCTGGTTTTCGATCTAGTATTCTTACACCAGGTGTTGTTGATGAAAACACAGACCTCACCTCCTCTAGTCTTACCACTTAGGTCTCTGTTTCTATCGGCGCAGTATAGCATGAGGCCCTCCAGGCTAATAGAATTGTCCGGTATCGATGAATGAAAACATGGTTCAGTTGGGATGATGGTGCAGCAGTTACTAATCTCCTTTTTTGAAGTGAGTTCGAGTCGGAGATGCTCAATTTTTTAATCCAGTGAGCAGACATTGGAGAGTGTTATGGGATCGGTTTTCTCTGGTAATTCCTTCTTAGCCTCACCATTAGCTTCACCGCCTCTGCTGCCCCTCTGACATCGCCTATCACATCGCTCCATCTGGCCTTCTCTTCTCTTTGGCCTGGCCTGCTCTGTGAGCTGATTTATGCTGATGGAATTTTGTTTTGTAAGTTTGTCTTAGTCTAAGTCTAGTGCTTTAGTGAAATTGTGTAGATCACAGCATATTCACATGATAGAAAGTTCCATCCAAAGTCTAGACCTACATGTTGACAAAGCTTTGCTAAAGTGAATCTTAGAATCTTTTCTAAAAGAACAGTTCTTCTGTTTGTGAATATATAATTGTGGATATATATTTTATCTGATATATATTTTATCTGAAGACTTTTCTGGATCTGGTGTAAGACTGACCACTAGAGGAGATATAGTTTATTTATATAACACATTTTAGCCATTTTAAAGTGTTGTACATATTTCTAGGTCAGGTTTTAAGTATTTAGGTAACAATATAACACCTTCATTTAATAAAAAATATTGCACCACTCATGTCTAAACTGAACCCAGATTTGCAAAGAAGGGATGTTCTACATTTAACCATGGCAGGCAGAGTGAACTGCATTAAAATGAATGTTTTGCCCAAATTTTTATTTTTATTTCAATGACTTCCTAATTTTTTTTAAAAAAATCTTTCTTCACTAAACTTGACAAACTTATATCTATATTTATATGGAAGGGTCAGAACCCTAGAATTAAGAAGGAGTTCTTACAATGATCAAAGGTGGGTTGGTTCTGCCAAACTTTAGAGCTTACTATTGGATAGCAGATTTCCACAAAATAACATATTAGATTCAGTCTGCTGATACAGATTGCTGTGAGATGGAGTACATGTCATGCATATTATCTCCTCTCGCTTTAGTTTCATCTAACCTTCCAATAAAGATTTCCAGGTTTACTTCCAACCCTGTCTTAGTATCTACATTGAAAATATGGGCTCAATTCAGAAAGCAGCATGATTTGAGGGATACTGTTTTGACTTACACTCCACTATGCAATAATCACAATTTCCTACCAGCAAACCTTGATCACACTTTTGTCTCATGCCATAGGAAAGGAATTAAGAGGTTTAGTGATCTGTATATTAATGGATCCTTTTCTTGTTTTGAGGATTTGTGTTCCAAATATGAACTTCAGCAAAAGGACATGTTTCGCTATTTTCAAGCTCGCCAATTTACTAGAAAACACAGCCTGGCTGTGCAGTATCGTCCAAAACCAATACCATACCGATACCATCTGTTTGAAATTGATGTGTTTGTGTATATATGAGAAACTGCATACTACTTGGATGTAAAATAATTGTCATCATGGATTTGTCAAGCTGCTGTCTACCTTTGTGAAGCAGGAAAAAGACTAATACAAAGTGAATCCAGTAGAACTTTTTATTGCCTACCTGGAGTGGGTGACAATAGTTGAATAAACTTTTGGCTCTCAAAATGGTATCAGTGTCGTATTTTTTGGTACTCACTTATGACGATACCACTATTTTAGTGCTGCATCGGGGCCCCGCCCGATACTGGTATCAGTATCGGTGCAACACTAATTGTCATATTGGACAAGATCAGAAATCATTGGGAGAATGGACTTGGAAGTGAAATCTCAGAAGACGCTTGGACTGACACTTTAAAAAGTTAACAGTGGCTCATCTTGTGCAAGATTAAAACTCATTCAGTTTAAGGTTGTCCATCGTTTGCACTGGAGTAGAGCAAGGATCTTTTCCATAAACCCAAATATTGACAGCATTTGTATCAGATGTCATAGTAATGTTGCAGATTTGACTCATGTTTTGGTCTTGTCATCTTTTGATAGGCTATTGGTCTGATAAATTTGATGTACTGTCAAAAGTCTTTGGAGTCAATTTCCAGGCATGTGCAATGATAGCATTTGTAGGGGTACCAAACAAGGATTTAACTAAGAACCAACAGAATATTATAGTATTTGTTTCTCTGCTGGTGGATTTTACTTCACTAGAAGTCAAGTGCACCACCTACTCTTGCTCAGTGGTTGAAAGATGTAATGCTATTTTTGCACTTGGAAAAGGTCAAATTTGCTATAAGGCATCCAGAAAAATTTCAATCTGTTTAGGAACCCTTTCTATCATACTTTAGTGGCCTCCAAGAACACCCACCAACTTTGCAATAAATTGAAAGATTCTATGGTTTTAATTAAAAAATCTAAGCATACCTAAAGGCACACTTTGTTGGCCATCAGCAAATGCCCAAGAATAAAATAATTTCCTTGTCTCCCAGTGTTTTGTATGCTGTGAGCCATTGTTTTGCAGGTTCTTTTCCCTCTAGTGGTGCTAACAATGAGACAAACAGGAACAAAAAGAAAACTGACTCTGTGTCAGTAAACCAAATCATCTCAAGCAACAGAAGTCTTACTTGTAACTCATAATTGGGACAGTCTGTGTTTCCTGAAATAGCCGACAGGTCAAGGTGGTGGGTGGGGGCCAGACATCTGCTGCCAAAGCTGCAGACAGTTTGTTTCCGTTTTGGTGTCAGCTTCATTGGGTTTGGTTATAATATACACTAGAATAGGTGAAACATCCAAGATCATTTGAACATGTTTGTAGCCGTTAAAAAGCCCCAACAACAGCAATCGCTTCTCTGCAGACATGGATTAATCAGATGTTTTCCAACATCTCTGCAGTATTTACTTTAAATAAATTTGCCCTTAGAAAGAAAATAGTCAAGTCTATCGATAAACATGAAGGGTGAATAGGAGGTCAGAGCAAAGCTTGGGGTTAAATGTCGGGGAATTGAATGTTTAAAGTCACAATTAAAATAATCTTTATCCATTTTATATGAAGGGAGATCAATATAAAAATGTGCCTGTTAAATGTAGTTTTTCTAAAATCTGATCAATATCACATATTAGGTACTGGATAAATGTGGCTATATTGTGTTTTTGTCTTTATCATTTGTTAGTGAATCAGATGCATTATTTCAGTTCAATTCAACTTCCGCGGCTCCTCTGGCTGCAGCTCATATAACAGAAGAACATTAAGGAGAAGTTATTATTCATTGTGCTGTGCAGAGCCGGCCAAAAGTACAGGGGAACTAACCTCCTGCTTATGGCTGTCCGCCAACAGTGGGCCCCCAAGAGCCCTACAACAGTCCATCAAGGCAGGGTTCAGGGCTGCGACTCATTTATTTCCTACATAACTTGTGTGATTAAGCTACAGTCGCCTGCCCCATTTATGTGTGTGGAATTGAAATATTGTACATGCATGCAGATGTTGCCCTGCAAGACAAGAAAGTTGAAAAACGCTCATCTGCTGCGTGGCACATCTAATCAGTAGCATGAATTAAAATGGGAGTTTATTAATGAAGGCGGTCCTGGACTTGAAAAGGACCCCTGATCTAGGATAAAGACAGCAACATAAATGATTGAGCAGATATAAATAGTCTCTCTTTAATACACAGAAGTATTATCATCCATCCATCCATCCATCCATTATCTGACACGCTTGTCCCAATTGGGGTCGCAAGGGGTGCTGGTGCCTATCTCCAGCTGTCAATGGGCGAGAGGCGGGGTCCACCCTGGACAGGTCGCCAGTCCTTCACAGGGCAACACAGAGACAAACAGGACATACAACCATTCACTCGCACACTCACACCTAAGGACAATTTAGAGAACAGTCATGTTTTTGGACTGTGGGAGGAAGCTGGAGTACCCGGAGAGAACCCACACATGCTCAGGGAGAACATGCAAACTCCATGCAGAAAGACCCCGGGCCGGGAATCAAACCCAGAACCGTCTTGGAGTGCTACCCACTGCTCCACTGAGCAGCCCAGTATTATCATTTCTATCATATTTATTGGGATATGTGCTTGACTGTGTTTCAGTTCGGTTCCTTAACACCGTTCAGTGGAGTTCCAACTCTTCATGGTGACAGACTATGGTGTAACCTCAGTAACTGGCCTTTGAGAGGATATTTGCTCATTTATTTTCATTTTAGGACATTGTCATTGTTCATTGTTGTTCTTTTCCAGGCCGCAGTTGCTCATTTACATTTCAAAAGCTTAAATAATTCTTCAAATACTTCCAATGTTCTAGCTGAGTTGAAAAGGAGGTATTGGAACATAGATCAGGAAAGAGGAGAAAATTCAAGGTAACCCTTGACCCTTTGATCAATCATTATGGGCAATGTAAGATATTTGGGAAACA